CTCTAAACAAACAATGACAATCATGGACAATATTGTAAAACAATTAGAAAAATAAGGGATTATAGATGTATGCAGTAGTAAACTAGGGCAGTAGATAGGTAAAGTAATTCTATAGCTGTGGAAAATTAGGTGTAATGATTGGGCCAAGGTATACAATACTGCCACTGTGGAAGATGCAGGATAGCGATTATTAAGGATGATAATGGTAAAGTAAACCAGCAGTGAGGATTAGTCGGAGTATCCTCAGCTATTATGGAAGATGAAGGATAATGATTAGGTACAGTAAACCATGGCAAAATTGAAAAACAAAAATTGAACTAACCATCAGTATATGTGTTAAAGTTTGGGCGGTGAACTATTCTGACCATGGAAGACATTACCGATTTAACCATGGTCTGGCGTTTACGACATCTGTGACAAACCTCTACAGCATTTTTAATCCATGTGACAGCATCTTGTATATCCTGGGGGTCAAATGTCATAATGGCTTGTAGGAAGCAAATAGTACCATAGCCAAGAGCATGGTACATGCTATCTTGAGCCCTACAGAGAAATAAAAAAAACTGTCAACTGGAATATACCTCTTTCTTTCGTGTAAGTACGTGTGTGTGTGTGTGAGGGGGTAGCGCCAGCGAGGGGGCCGGAGGCCGGGGTCCCCGTCGGGGAGAGTTGGCCCCCCCGTCGGAGAGAAAAAGCACAATTCATCGGGGAGAAAAAAAATATATGTATTTTCTACATATTAGTAGACTATAAAATCAATTAAATAAGCCTTTGAAACCCCTAAATTGTCAAAATTTTCAGGGCTTCGCCCCCAGGACCACTTTCAGAATCTTAATCGAAATCTGACCCCTCGTCGAGCAAATAATGGTGCCACTCCTGATTGTGTGCTTGTTGTAAAACCCAAAGTATGACCTACAAAACCCTTAAGACTAATTTCAAATGGAACCCCTCCACTGGCAAAAAGACAAGCGTTACATAGTTGACTAATTTTACCAGTGCTTGACCAGCACAGCTTCTTCACCACTTACCATGGTCGCATTCTCATTTTGGCATCATTGAAATGATTGTTGAAGAACAGGTTGA